AGCACAGAGGAAGGGAGAGGGAAGCTAACAAAATCAGAGAGCAGCTTTAGCAAATGAGAACATCAACCCTATCTTTAAGTCTTTCAATTCATTTGCTCTGTGTAGGTCAGAGCATCCCAAATCATGTTTTCCCAGAGGATCTTCAGAACTTCATAGGTCTCTCCGAGCCCATAAATACACTTTCCTTGATGGAAAGGTCCTCATAATGCCCTAACACCACAAGAGCAGCTGGCAGGGGTGCTTTGTACTGCCTGTACGTAACATGATGTGCCACTAAGGGCTGCCAAAGGCTGTGTTTGCCTGCGTGTACAGTAGGTTACATTAAACTGTTGTATTGTGGATGTGTACACAGAGCAATGGTGGTCACCAACAGAAAGAAGTAGCTAATAATGATATTAAGTGGGACTAGTATGGTTATGCTTTGACATGCTTAATCAGATCTAAGTCAGTTTCTGGGCTGAAGAGATACTGTAGCTCTGTGCAAAATATTTAGAGGTCCCCTTTCACACAGATACATTGTTTTGAGGAGCCAAGACTGAAGCTGCATTAAACGAAGAAACAAGTAATCCAGATTTTTCATTGAGGAAGGGTGGGTGACCTTATTTGAGACACCCGATGAAATTCAGCTTCAGTAAATCAGTGTAAACTGAAGTGTTTGTGGAGCTGTATTTTACACCTCTCTTCCCATGGATTTATATTGTTTATTATATGCATTACAAGAGTGCTTTACTGTATTAGACATAAAAAAGTATAACACAGTGCTCTTCCCTCTCCTCCAAAACACTAAGCCATTACATTTTCCAGCAAATCTAATTGCGTAAAGTATTCCAAACACTGTCATAGAGTCATAGAATGGTTTGAGTTGGTAAGGACCTCAAGATCATCAAAGTTCCAACCCCATGCTGTGGGCAGGGACACCTCACACTAGACCATCTCACCCAATGCTCTGCCTTGAACACCGCCAGGGGTGGAGCATTTACCACAGGGCAGCCTGTTCCAGTGTCTCACCACCTTCACAGTAAAGAACTTCTTCCTTTTATCTAACCTGAACTTCCACTGTTTAAGTTTGAACCCATTCTCCATTGTCCTACCACTACAGTCCCTAATGAAGAGTCCCTGTAGCAATTAATGTTTCCAAAAGAACAGCTAAACTATAAGAAGAGAGCTGATACTAATATAGATCAGATTAAATCTGATCAGCGAGTGTGAAGGAGGCTCCTCCCGTAAAGTAGTTTAAAAAGACTTAAGCTGACAGATACTTCATTCCTCCTCTGTTCTGAAACAACAGTGAAATTGTTCTGAAACAACCTGGATCAGTCAAAGATATTCAAGTGCCCTGGGCTTTTTCCAAGAAATGTTGGAGTATGGTGTATACACAAAAGAGAGAAAGGAGAATCTTAGAGCACACAGAGAGTTGACTAATACTCACATGCATTAGTCATGTGAGTGAAAAACTGTAGGGACACAAACAAGGGATTGTAATCAGCTATTTCAGTCATCAGTAGATGATTTCAAACACTCTTATTTAAATAAAGGCATTGTGGCTAAATATGACCTTCATTTTAGGTGTTTCTCTAAGGTAAAAAAGCTGGAAAAGATGCAAATGCTTGATATGTAACTAGTTTCCTGCTTGTACTTACTGCCTCAAAGAAATCCTAAGGATAAATGCTAAAATGAATCCTGGTAAGCTCTTTGGTAATACATTAAATGTGCTAATAGACAACATACTGTAACTTAACTCATGAAACTGCCAGTTATTTTCTCCTTTTGGTAACAGACATAAAACTTTAAAATACACAGTACAAGTCTTAAACATTTTAATCATTATGAGCTGAAAATGTGTTTGTGTTGTGTTAAACAATTTGTGTTTGTTAACGAGGCGTTTGTTTGAGGTGGTAGCAAATAACGCTGGCTATAGAAATAGCTATTCCACAGAAGATGCTCCAGAGGTAGCTGCTTCTCTGTTTAAAGCAGCAGTGGAAGAAATGTGTTGCCTTTTGCAAATCCCATTTCCAATAAAAAGTGGAGGCTTCTGTAACACAGTTAGAAGCCCTGAGACTGAACTAACAAGAGATGTGCCAGTCACTTGATCTGTTCATTGCCTGCCTCTGCCAGAACTGCTCTGGTGGGGCTGGTGGGGCTTGCTGAAAAGCACGTGTACCTCCTCTGGAGTGGCTGTTCTAGTGCTTAAAGGGATTCAACACACCTCCACATCCTCCAGAGTAGCTAGAAGCCTGTACTATACACTTCTTGTGTTTGCTGTAGTGTCTTTTAAACATTGTCAATTAAATTAGCTTATAAAAGTTTATACAATGAGGAAAACAAAAAATCATTTGTGTGGGAAATTAAGTAATTGAAATCCTTCATCCTTCCTGAAAACAAATACACTCCAGAGACAGTTGGTTCAATGGTGAGATGAGGGAAAGATTTCTGTGGAAGCAACTGGTGTAGAAAAAAGCCCCATCATTCCATTGCAACTATTAAATACTGAAGAGGAAAAAGCACTTGAGGGGAAGGTGGATGAATGTGATGCCTAGGGGCTCCTCCTGCAGGTACTTCTGTGCAAAGCTGAAACCAGCAGCTCCCTACACAGGCACGACACCTCACATAGAGCTCGTTGAAGGCAAATGAGGCTTATTGCCATCCTAGCACTGTCACACTCGAGCCGAGTTCCTCCTTACTTGGGCTGAGTGGCTGGAGAGAGGCTGAAGGAGGGTTGCACCTGAAGAAGATCTTCTCAGCAAAATGATTTTGCTTCCATCTGTGCAGAATTCCACCCCTGGGAAAGCAAGCAGCATGGAAGCTGTTTCACTTGCAAAGAGTTCAGACAGCCCTCAGCCACTTTGGCTTGGTCATGCATTATTCCCACAGAAGTCTGCAGCTCCATGTCAACAGGAGCTGCAGTGGCAGTAGAACGACAGCTGACATTATATCAACACACAAGGACTGCTTATGGCTTAATATGATTATTGTTCAAGTCACTAAACCCATCTGCCTCAATTCTTATAGCAAGATCAGCCCCACTGGGCAATTTCCCCTCCTGGCATCAGCTTGCTGTGAAACCCAAATCCCTCTCAGGATGCTGCGCAAGATCTCTGCATGAAAGCTGGAGGGGAGAAAAGGCAAGCCAAAGGTGGAAATTGGTGGAAGATCTGACAGCCGCAGCATCAGGTGGGCAGCATGGCAGGGACATGGGGAGCTTGCCATCAGGCACCAGAGGGAGGAGGAGATGATGTGGGAAGAGTTATGTGCAGATGCGGTGGTGCAGAGTTTATAGGCGAGGGCTGACCTCGCAGTTACTATGAAATGAGAGAGGGGCCAGGGGAGGAGGTGAGGGAGAGAAGGGGCACGGTTGGGCGAAGAGAAGACAGACGATCCTGCCGCAGGCACTCGGATCAACCGGGGAGGCAGAATGTGAGACGGAGGCAAAGCTCTGGGCTTTGAGCAGGACTGGAGCAGAGCTCAGCTCAAAGCAGGGAGTGAAAGGGTGTTGGAAACCTCCAATCTGCACAGATGACAAATGGGCATGTAGGCGCATCCAAAGGCCAGCAGGCTTGAACTGCATAGTGGAAAACAAACCCCATACTATGCTGCAGACGAATGTTGTTCCCTATAGTTACTTACCACTTAGTTTTTCAAGATAAAAAGGCTTCATATTTGTGAAAAACATGTAGTCCAGCACCTCAATGCCCCCGACTGGTTCTCAAGCAGGAGACATTAAAATTCTCTCATATTAGTTGTTTCCCAGTGTGCAGTTCTGAGGAAGAGCAGCAGCCTCCACTAAGGAAGGGCAGCTGCAAATTCCTCTTTCCGTTTGAGTTAGGACTTTATCTAATCTCAGATTGGTTTGTATCCCTTAACCCAGCCACTTTACTCTCCTCACAGCCATACCCACCTGTTTGTGGGGCTGCCTGTCTGCTGTCCATCCTGCTGGGATAAGCAGCAGTGCACTGGCATTATTAACTTGGAAGTGTCTCCCCATATGCTTAGCTGTAGAATTTGATACCATCATCCCTTCAGACTGCGCTCAAAAGTTTCCCAAAGGTTCTGTCTCTAGAACTCTCCATCCACTACAGTCTACCTCAAATCCAGGCCAAAACAATCAATAGCCGATAGTTGCTTTCTCCAAGTCTAACACTCAAACCAGGCATTATTTGGCCTTTATTCTTTTTCCTGTAGTGGCTTCTGCTTCATAGAGAAGCAGAGCACACGCACTTCTTTATGGTGGTGCACCAGCCAGTAGGATGTGTGTGTCATTGCACCATCAGTTCCATGTTCAGTCTCCTCCAGAGGAGAGTGGTTTCCAACACTGGATCTTCTTCCCCTCCTATTCCGTGTTCTGGTGCACACCAGTGCTCCTGCTCTCCTTCAGCCGGCAGGACTATGTGGACTGACGCTGCTCTGGAGTCAGCATGTCAGCAGTCAGGGACAGATCAGTGACCAACCCAGACAGCAGGATGGGAGTGGTAAGCAGGCACTGGCCAGTGGAGATTGAAACCTTTGGGCACTGCCACATGGGACAGCAGCACTGCCAGCAGGAGCATGGGAAAGCAGTTAGAGCTGCACAGTGGGCATGTGGCCATCATGGGGAGTGTATTTTGTGTCTTCTGGGAACACTGAGCATGTATGTTAAGGGGCTGGTGCATCTGGCTTTGCAGACGCTGTCACACACAGCTGCAGATCACAGATACACTCTTCCACTTAACAGACTGGGGACATGTGCGACCCGCAATCTTTACCAGCCGAAGGGAAGAAAGAGGAAGTGGCTGGTTGTAGTGATGTAGGTTAATCCTCATAAAGTTACCTTAAAATGCTGTGGAAGACGGCATCTTCTCTGTGACAGTTTGGGGCAAAAATTAATTAATGAGATTTCCATTTTCATTTACATTTTTGATGGGACAGGTGTGCAAGCAACTACGTGGGCATAAAAACTCACTTTAGGAGTCCTTCATTGATCCAGAGGAGCAGAAGTAAAGAAAACAGCAACAAACTGATACCGGTATTCTCGAGAAGGAATTTGTTTAATGAAAAACACCTTCTTGTCTAAATCAAATGGTTATTTCTTCTCTAAAAAATCTTACATTTTATCCATACTTATATTACATCAGAGAAAACCAAGGACTACCATTTTAAAATAGCATTGCGCTTATATATGAAAGGCCACAATTCTGCTGGTAACAGTTTCCACTCACAGTTTAGAGTTAAGCTGCGTCAGCATCTTCTCAAGCTTTATTGCCAGTGCCATGTTACCTTTAATCCTTAATTTTCCTGTCATGAAGGCCAGGGTTGGCTTTAGTTTACCTAAAAAAGAAGAAACAGAAGCATCAAAAAATTAGAAGAAACTGGTGACAGCCTGTGCACAGGAAAATATAATGCCACTACAGTGAGACCTAGCAGCTATACTGATACTAAGTTCTGCTGTTAAAGCAGTGCACACTTAGGAAAACAGTAAAAAACTTCTCTGGAGCCAGAAAAAAACTCAGTAAAGAGAGCCAAATTGCATCAGATGTGGTATGCTGTCATGTAATAAAATTATCAGATCATGACTGATTTTAACTGAGACAATACCATGCAACTTGGGTCTCTGAGCAGAGAACAAACAAACCAGGTTACTTTCCTACCAAATTCATGCAGCACGCATTTAGGAAACACACACTAGAGATGTACAGGGCAGAAGCCAACAGATTGACCTGATTCCTTCTGAAGCTACACTGGCTGCTAACATTGCAAAGTCTGGTGAGTAACAGCAGTATCAGCTTGTGCGCTCTTCCTGCTCATAGGACAGAAGAGTTCTGAAACACTGAGGAGTTTCAGCTGAGCCACATGAAGTCCACGGCCCCTCCACACCAGGACCACAAAGCCCGGAGGCTGCCATTTGCCCACCAGCAGGTTTTCTGGGCACCACCACCCTGGCAAACATCCCTGTCACTCACCTGTGAACATTTTCACAAAGTCGGTACTGGACATACTCATAACCACATCAGCCTTCAGAGGAGGCTTCCCAGAACCAGCATTCCCTCCCTTGGTTTTCAGGTCAATGTACCAGGTTCCTCCTTCATCACCTGAACGGACAGTGAGAAAGCAGGTGATGAGGCAGCAGAGCATAGCCCTCCCAGCTCCTCCCTGTCAAACAGCAGCTGCCATGCTCATCTGGAGCAGTTACAGGACAGTGCTTCCGCTGGCTGTGCTTGCCCCATGTGCTGGCAGAGCCAGCCCCATGCAGGTGCCAGCAGCAGGAGAGCCCCAAGGCAGCATGCTTTTACCATGGCCTGTGAGTGCTCCCATCTATCAACTCCAGAACCCTGTGCATGGGGTAGAGCCACCCCAAGCATCCCAGGAGCAGCAGCAGCTCCCATGTGGGCCGGAACTGGGCCCAAGGAGCAACCCACGGAAAGGAACAGAAGGTGGTCTGTGTTGGGATCAGCTGGAAGAGGTGAGTATTGCTGTCTGGAAACACCCCATGCCTTCTGCTAGGAGTGTGAGCATGTGGAGGTTGTACAAGTAAGAGTCTTACCGGATAACTCAAACTGAAAGATGCCCTGAGTGGTTCTCACATCCTCTTCAGTTACTGCTCCCTGAATAACTCTGAATGTTTCTGCAACAGGACTCAATAGCTTGGCTGCAGTAGATTCTGATCCTTCTTGATGGGATCCACTTAATTTCTTTTCCTCCTTGAATGCTTGGGAACCACCTACAAGAAAGTGATTATTTTCCTCTTTCCAATGCAAAACATTTTAAAACTGCATGTAAAAACATGCACAGAAAACTTAATTTGAAAAACTTTGAGCTCCACAGTAAGGAAAATTAGTATTTTAGTATCGATACTGATAAAGGATGCTTTTTGCACCTGGGAATCTGAACAGGTGTACAGCACTGAACATAATTCTGCAATATATTTCATTTCCTAGTATGCCAAAGAAAAGTGAAAATAAAACCACAGAAAGATTGTAATTCTGACTGTCCACACATGCTTACGCAGCACACTGATTTCTAACACAATCCACGCTTCTGACAGCGCTCACATAAAATAAGTCAGTGTCTTTAATAAAGGCCACTCGCATGTCAAAATACTTCTGTTTATCTTGCTAAGAACATGGATATTTTCATTCATTCTTCTGCAAAGGCTTCTAAGCTGTAAATCCATTCACTGCTTCAATCAGCATTTTACTGTACTGCAGAGAACACATACATTTCACAACAAAGGACAGCATCTGCCATTTATAAGGCTGATCAAGTTGAACAGCCTCTAAAAATGTTGCAGAGAGTCTCTTTGGTGTCTTCAGTATCAAAAAGCCCAGGTAAGACTATTCTGTGGCTCCCTACAAAGTAACCTGCATTATGAGGCCCAGGGAACCAACAAAATCTGTCCCCAGCAGAACAGTCTTAGTGCAACTGCTCAAATGGCATTTCCAAGGGAAAGTGACTCTGTTCCAAACTTGCTTCTCTGCCCTTCTCTTATCCCTGTTGCCACTCCTATGCAACCTGTTCAGCATTCTTGGTTGCCCTCCTACTTGACACACTGCAATTCTGAAAAAGCAAACCCAATGCTTTTCTGTAGAAGACTTTTCCATTTCATCTAAGAGATATTTAAGTTGTGTAAATGTGCAAGTTTCATCTAAGAAGCAATGGAGGCTCTATGTTGTGCTCTTTAATATAAATTTACCAAGGCAAATGAGACCCTCCTGCAAAATATGCCATCTGCTCTTCAATTTCTTATTCTAGCAGTATTTTTCCATGATATTTACGCTATCACAATTCAGATGTTTAAGAGAAGACTTCTCAAAATAAGGCTCTGGTTTTCTATCATGAAAGTCCTGCAGAAAGGAACTTTTTTTCTAAAAAAAGAACATTTTTTTCCTAGCTTTAGGTACAGAGTGACTTCCATTAAATTTTACTCTCCAAATGATAAAAGGTTTTTGTCAAATAGCTTGAGTGGAGTCCCAGCTCTTGGGAAAAAGAAAAGACATCTTGAAATAATGAGAGCATTCAATATTGTCAGAAATTATGGACTTTTAAAGACAGTGCTTTCCTTACCATATCCTTCTTGTTTCCTGCCTATCATGTCAGTTTCAAGATCCAAGAAGAAGTCAGGCATCAGGGGGTGACCTAAAACGGAGAAAAACTGTAAGTCCAAGCAAAGGTGGACAGTACAAACAGGAATCCATTTCATATAAAACTACAGCAAAGTTGTTTAAGTAAACAAACTACAATCTGAGGGAAAGACATAGCATGAAATAACGTGCTTAGAGTTTGGTTCATTTAAAATCTGACCTAAAAGTCTCTTAAAGTTGCCATGAAAAACATTTGAAGAAAAACCAAACCTATCTCACTACCTGTTAAACAGTAACAAATACATCTACAGAGTAGGTACATTTTCTTTTCATTAAAAATTGGTAAATAATTATTTTCATTAAACAGGAACCTGAAGGTGCAGAACTGCATGGGACCTGACAAGATGCACCCATGGGTCCTGAGAAAACTGGTGGATGTACCTGCCAGGCCATTATGTATCGTATTTGAGAAGTCATGATACAGTGGTGAAGTTCCTGCTGAGCAGAAAAGAAGAAACATAACCCCTATTTTTAAATAAGGAGAAAAGAAAGACCTAGGGAACTGCATGCCAGTCAGTCTCACCATGGGCCAGCAAGATCATGGAGCAGATCCTCCTGGAAACCATGTTAAAGCACATGGACAATAAGACGGTGACTGGTGACAGCCAATGTGACGTCACTAAAGGCAAATCATGTCTGACAAATTTGGTGGCCTTCTATGATGGGGCCACGGCAAGCAATTGACATGATCCACCTGGACTTGTGCAAGGTATTTGACAGGGCCCACACAACATCTTTGTCTCTAAACTGGAGAGGAATTGATGGACCACTCAGTGAACAAGGAACTGGCTGGATGGTCACTCACAAAGAGTTGTGGTCAACGGCTCAAGGTCCACATGGAGATCAGTGACAACTGGTGTCCCTCAGGGGTTGGTCCTGGGATTGACACTGTTCAACATCTTTGTTGGTGACATGGACAGTGGAATTGATGCACTCTCAACAAGCTTGCCGATGACACCAAGCTGTGTGGTGTGGTCAATGTGCTGGGGGGAAGAGATGCCATCCAGAGGGACCCTGACACACTTGAGAGGTGGCCAGTGCCAACCTCATGAAGTTCAAGAAGGCCAAGTGTAAGGCCCTGCATCTGCATGGGAACAATCCCAAGCATAGCTAATGGCTGGGTGGAGAATGGGTTAACGGCAGCCTTGAGAAGGACCTTATAACAGGACCTACAGGGGGACCTACAAGAAGTTTGGAGAGGGACTTTTTAGAAGGGGGAATGGCTTTAAGCTGACAGAGGGGAAGACTGAGATTAGATATTAGGCAGAAAATTTTCACTGTGGGGGTGATGAGGCACTGGCACAGGTTGCCCAGAGAAGCTGTGGCTGCCCCATCCCTGGCAGTCTTCAAGGCCAGGTTGGACAAGACCTTGAGCAACCTGGTCTAGTGGAAGGTGTCCCTGCCCATGGCAGGGGGGTTGGAGCTGGACGAGCTTTAAGGTCCCTTCCAACCCAAACCATTCTATGACAATTTTTTAATTTTTTAATTTACTAAGATTTTATGGTTAGACTCTCAGTGAAGCAAAGCAACTCTTTACAAATTGATTAGTTTAGAAGACAGGCTGAGAAAGTTGGGGATGTTCAGCCTGGAGAAGAGAAGGCTGTATGGAGACCTCATAGGCCCCTGCAGATACTGGAAGGCTGCTATAGGGGAGGGACTCTTCATTAGGGACTGTAGTGACAGGACAAGGGGTAATGGGCTCAAACTTAAACAGGGGAAGTTTAGATTGGATATAAGGAAGAAGTTCTTTACTGTAAGGGTGGTGAGGCACTGGAATGGGCTGCCCAGGGAGGTTGTGAATGCTCCATCCCTGGCGGTGTTCAAGGCCAGGTCGGACAGAGCCTTGGACGACATGGTTTAGTGTGAGGTGTCCCTGCCCATGGCAGTGGGGCTGGAACTTAATGATCTTAAGGTCCTTTCCAACCCTAACTACTCTATGATTCTATGATTAAGAGCCCCTATAAACAAAACTATGTTAGTATTCTCCATACCGCCTTCCCTCCTTCCTGAACTTCTCATCTTAAAGATGTGTATTACCTGGTGCAATTGCATAGACATCAAAATCCTTAACTCCTTCTTCTCTCAGCAGAGCTTCATCAATAATGAAGTTTCCAGTGAAACTTTTCGGTTTCGTTAAAATGCAATATGCAGCATCTGCAATGATGTCTGTTTTTCTGCACTGTTTTTCTATTCCAGATCCTCCTAGCATATCCATAGCAGCTGTATGTATGGCTAGAAAGTTTGGAGGATAAAAAACCAAAGTTTTAACAATGATGACATGAAATGCCCATTTCTCTGGCAAGCATACAGACTTTGTTTTCTTTTCATGCAAAAGACTGTATCAAGATAAAGCTACGAAATACTACCAACCAACAAATCATTCTCTAGAAGCACCAGTAAAACCCAAGAAAACTATTAAAGGAACCAAAAAGAAGAATAACGAGCAAAACAATTCATGAAATTCCTTCTACCCCTTTACCAGTGAACCCCCCTGGACTTTCTCCAGCTTATTCTGGACACAAAAAACTAACAGAACAACTATTTTTCTCAAAGTGAATGTATGGCACATCAGTCATTACTGGATCTTTTCTTTGGTGATTATCACACTGAAAATCTTAATGCTTAATTTTAACCGTTTAATAACTCTCATGAAGTAACAAACTGTTTCTCCAAGGTTAATGACAAACCAAAAAGCAAAATTTCAAGTAACTTGTTCCGTACTCCACAGAAAGGCTGTTTAGCACAAGAACACAACCCAGATCTCCTAAACTTCTGGTTGTTTTATTAGCCAGTTCTACTAAGTTCCACGCCATTCCACTACTTTGTTATGCTTCCCCCAAAGATGCTACTAACACCGTGGCATGTTACAGTTCAAGCCTGTCATTTGCTCTTCCAGGCTGAGGTATCTGTCCCATTTTTCTTTCATCCTGTTCCATAGAGCGGCTATTTCATTGGCATTTGCCATGTTACTGTTTTCTTCTCATATAGTTCTGCTTCGTGACTTTTTTTCCATCTGCTAGCCAAGACTCAACACTCTGCCCCCAAGTTTTGGGACAAATTTGCAAATCCTCTCCTGAACTGGGTCTGGTAGGTCCTTGGATTAGAAGGGTAAAAACCTGACTTCAAATCACTTCTGTCCTTCTTCCAGTGTTTCCAATTCCACACAGTAACAGCAGCTCTGATTCACAAATGATCCCAGCATCCTTTAAAAAGCAAAGAACAGGCATTGTGCAGGACCCATTCATCTGAGCTGGATCATTCAACTTCCAGAGTAGGAACTGGTAAAAAGGACAGCAGTCTTCAATGCTAGCCAGGATATTCCATCTAATGTTTTCTACGAAAGGGCAAGAGTGGGTAGATGTCCCTGTTGATTTCTGTATTTACTCTTCTGTGGTGTGGATTAGGTTTCAGTTACCTTTGACCAGCCTCAGCTTCTCTTTTCCAAATCAACTGAACTGCTATGAATACACACCCAAATAAAAAGCAGCAAATAGATGGACTAGTACATATTCCTAGGTTTCCCTGGGCCGCCTTCCCATTTTTAAGGATAGGAAATAAATCTGCCTTTCTTTGATCCTCTCAAATGTGATCTGTCCCGAAAGATGGTTGCTGGATTTTCTTCATTAACTACCAACAGTTCAGATAATATTTCTGCCTAATACTCTTACGAAATTTACCAGGCTCTGTCGACCTGAATATATTCCACTAACCTGTTTCACTTCTCCTGGCCATGCTTCTGCCGCTTCTCTGTTAGCATCAACTACGATTCTTTGGGGCACACTGAACCTATGTGCGCATACTGAATCAAAAAGGTTTTAAACTATGAGGTACTGCCTCATAGTCTGGCTGCCCATCATTCCACCTATTTTATATAAAGTGCTTTATATGAAGATAAATGGAGAGTTCCTAGCATCTCATTACTAGCCCACTTTCACATGTTTCAAGAATCGGATTGATCAACAAATACTGGCATATATACTAGCACTGAGGCTAATCACACTTCTATGAGATTATAGTGGATTTTTTAATTAAGAACTTTGCAACTGTTTTAGATACCACGGAAGCCTGTGTCTCTGTGTCTCTGGTGACCACATGAAGTAGTTAACTTTGTCATTTTTGGAAGATAAACCTTTTGAAAGAACATTTTTTTTGTACTGGAGAATTTGCACATTATTACCATACTTGAGGGCACTTCAGTTTTCAAGGAGGCATCAATGATTTATATAAATTCTGAAAGCTCATCTAATGTTTCTAACAGTCTTAAACCAAACGAGCAAGAATGGATTCAGCAAATACAAAGCTCTATCTGCGTATCTTTGGTTTTATAGAAAGCTTAATTACTTTCTAAATTACTTTGCAGCATCCAACATAAAGAAATCATTATTTAAAAAATGCATTTATTAGAATATACTGTTGTCATTTGTAAACTGAATCTTCCTGCATTTCCAAGCCTCATGTTCTGCATGTTCCTGGGGGAAACAAATATCAGCTGCACTCTATAACAAGTACCAACTTCTGCAGTGTTAAACTCTTTCTTGTTTTAGCAGGTACACAGTGGCACTCTAATGCACAAGAGAAATAAGCTTTTCTTTGGTTTGGGTTTACCCTCAATAAGAACGTCAGATTTTGTAGAAGTTCCTTTAATACCAGACTGTATCTGGGACACTGGTACTGTTACTGACATCTGGAGTGCTACAGCATATGCAAACACGGGAAAGAAATCATGTATTCAACTATGCAACATAGGACTTAATGTAACTTCTGCCTGTAAAGTTAGCCATCCTTCTGAAAAATCCTTCATTGTGAGCAGGTGGACAAATTATCCTAGGTTCTGTTTTCCCTTGCCATGGAAAACATGAGGCTAAATTAATCAGATGGGTGGGGGAAAACACCTACATTGTAAAATGAAGATTTAGTATAACCAGCTGGTCTCTGCAGGAAGATAGCTTCCTGCTATCAACCCTACCAGCTTTCAACACTACACTGGGACCCATAAAACCATCAACTCACTTCCACAATAGTAGGGGATGTTTTCTACAGCATATCCAGAATCATAGAGAGAAGCTGTTTAAGAATAAGAAAGCTGTGAAGGATGCAGATAATGTGCCTATACAGCTTGTAAATATGTGCATTTACAAGACAAGGTAATCTTGTAACACCTTTTTGCATTAGAAAAGGCTGCAAATTAGTAAATTGTCTGTAGCTTGGTACCACATCTCTGTCTGAATGAGATACTCTACATCAATTCCTTCGCTGTCCCTAACTCCCACATACAATTTAATTTACATTGCTTAATCAGTGACAAAAAAAAAAAACAAACACAAAATGGTAGGTTTTTACCTCTGCTAATGGAAAACCAAATTACTCCTACATATAAGATTCTGAGGAAATATAAAACTCATTTAGCAGCAGCATTTTACAGACAAGTCAGATGGAATGGACATGAGGTCTAGTGAGCTAAAGGCTTTAAAAACCAAGTTTTATGGCTCTACTCCAGATAACAAAGATCTTGGGAAATCTCCACTGAAACTTTTCTGAGGTTTTCCTGGAGCACTCAAGAAGCAAGAATATGAAAACAAGCACATATTTCTTCCATCTCCTTCAGAAACAGAAAAATACACCAGACACAAAACCTGAAGGGCGAGCTTTCACTCCACTGCCAGAAAGGCAATCCAGACCCTGAAGTAAAATGCGCAGTTGCCTTCAACACATCAAATACTAAGATCTTATCCTCTTCAAATTAGACAGTACAGGTTTTGTGATGATAGAGTTATCATAAATTATTCAATTAGCATTACAAAAGTCGATCCCTTATCAAAATATTTCTAATGATAAAACTTATGATGCAAGCAGGATTATGATGCATCTATTTCCTGGAAGAATTTAGGATGCAGGCATCCAGGCCTATGAAAAGAGACTAAATCAGTCAGAGATACTAATCCAAGTGTTCAACTGAGTATTCCCTAAAGCATTTAAGCAAAGAAACCCAGCTGATTTGAAATAATTAAGTTTTGCTCATATTCCTCACTTCAAAAGAAAGCAAATCACAGAGTTCTAGGTCACACTAGGAGTTAAAATGGGCCTGCAGCTCCTAGCAGGAAAACATGGAAAAGTGTCTGGGGACAAACACTTCTCACACTGGAGCTCCAGGCACACAAGAGGATCTTGCTCCATGTTTCATTTCTTCTTCCTTGGCAATCCCAAGGTTGAGCAGAGAAGAGATTCAGAGCAGCCCTGCAGAGAAGGACTTGGGGGTGTTGGTTGATGAGAAAATGAACATGATCTGGCCTCAGTGTGCGCTCACAGCCCAGAAAGCCAACCGTATCCTGGGCTGCATCAAAAGGAGCGTGACCAGCAGGTCGAAGGAGGTGATCCTGCCCCCTCTACTCTGCTCTCGTGAGACCTCACCTGGAGTATTGTGTGCAGTTCTGGTGTCCTCAACATAAAAAGGACATGGAAATGTTGGAACAAGTCCAGAGGAGGGCCACAAAGGTGATCAGGGGCTAGAGCACCTCCCGCATGAAGACAGGCTGAGAAAGTTGGGGCTGTTCAGCCTGGAGAAGAGAAGGCTGCGTGGAGACCTCATAGCAGCCTTCCAGTGTCTGAAAAGGGTCTACAAGGATGCTGGAGAGGGACTCTTCATTAGGAACTGTAGTGAGAGGACAAGGGGTAATGGGTTCAAACTTGAACAGGGGAAGTTTAGACTGGCTATAAGGAAGAAGTTCTTTACTGTGAGGGTGGTGAGGCACTGGAATGGCTTGCCCAGGGAAGCTGTGAATGCTCCATCCCTGACGGTGTTCAAGGCCAGGTTGGACAGAGCCTTGGGTGCCATGGTTTAGTGTGAGGAGTCCTTTCCCATGGCAGGGGGGTTGAAACTTGATGATCTTAAGGTCCTTTCCAACCCTAACTATTGTATGACTCTCTGATTCTATTCCTTCTTCCTTCCCTCCACTAGGTAAGGGAATGAAGTGCTGTTGTAGTGTTTCATATCACAGTGACTGGGCTCACACCATTAAAGGGCAGGATTACCCTTTCTTTGCTGATATTAACAACAGTATCTTTTCTGTACAGTTTTGAATTTGAGGTAAAGAGACTGGCCTCTTTGGCAAACAGCTGACCAGATGTTTAACAGCAGCTGTGATCCTAACTGACTCATAGACAACAAACTTCAGTTAATACAACATGGGAGCATCAGGTTATTTTTATTCTATAGAGCTCTTTAATTTCCTGATGCTTGCACGCAGATGGTTCTGTTAACAATATTTTGCTTGCCCACTGTGGTCAAACTTCCAAGAGCAGAATGTTTCTGCATTTACAGAGGCATATATCTTGTTATTTCTACCTATGTTTTGGCAATTTAACTAGCAAGGAACTCTTAACAGTACTACGTAGACAAATATGTAATTCTGACCAATGAAGGCATGCTAGGACTGTGGTGATTTGTTCAAACCAAAACTCCGACTGCATGATAAAAAACACACACTAACCATAAGACTATGCAGATACTTCAGCCAACTGAAAGGGTTGAATGGGTTGCAAACTAGCGTCTGGATCAAAGTGGCAATGGTCTAGTGTGAACAACAAATGAAAATCAGCACCAGTGCAAGATGACAAATATGCATAAAATAATATGCATGTTCTTATGCATATTCTTTAATACACAAAGAATATGCGTAAGAAGTGCTTGGTCTCCTGAGTCAATTCCAGAAGTTTGAAGTATATTCAAAGTCAAATAAAACATGCTGTAGAGGACAAAACACAAAAAGCCATTATTTTAGTACCATTACAAAATAAAGTTTAAAAAAAGAGAAAAAAAAAAAAAAATCACCTGTTTTAGGCCATAAAGCATTGACAGCAACTTCTCCTCTAAATTCTTCTGCCATTCCCAAGACACACATGGACATCCCATATTTTGAAATGGTATAAGCTAAGACAAGAAGTATAAAAAACGAAAGTTACAGTCTATCAACGGAACTTTAACTGTGAAGGGAAAAAAAAAGAAAAAATTATTTTTGTCATAAGGAAAATTAAGTTTTGGAGGACAATCCAGTAGTCAAAATCTCTCCCTTCTCCTCACCACCCCAGCAGATAAAAGCTGTAGTCTGCCAGATTTTCACTACAAATAAAGTAAGAGCTAAGATGCGATGCTGTGGCAAAAACAACGACTGAAGCCTAGCTGTATGGTGGTTTTGTTGTACTTTTTATACAGCACACTGACAAGAATGATGAATTTTTTAAAGTATCCTAAGGCATACAAGATGCTAGCAAACAAAGTTGTGTCCTATGGAAAACAAAAACAGAAGGAATAAAATAAATTAAAAAATAGGAAATTAAAAACAAAACAAAAATCTAAATCCTTGTCATCTACCTACTGTGAGATGGGAAACATTTCCGGGAAAGAACTGGGACTTGCTGGAAGATTTGAACATGACAAATGTCCAAAACTGAAAGGTTGTTTTACAGTTTCAACATAAGCAACATTAATGTCAAGAAAAAATGGGGGTGCTTTCCAACTTCAAAATTAATTTCCGTTTTAAAAGACAACATTCAGCTTTATCTCTATTATATCAAGTAAGAAGCTGAGTCAGTATGAAAACAGATTTCGGATTTCATTCTCTATTTGGAACAGAAAATGTTTTCTAGTCTTCAGAATTTCCATGAAAAAGCACAGACTCTTACCTTGAAAATATTCTTGAAAATATAAAGGACGTATTACGCCATGAAACCTGCTATATGTTTTCCTATAAAATAAGTTTATTTATGTTTGGTACAAAATACTCTGAGGAACCATTAGGGCCAGCCTGTATACAGTGCTAAGAATACAAGATCTGGAATTCTGGGCTGGCACTCCTGCACATGTCACCAAGTATTTATAAGGTTCTCAAAAAAGTAACAGCAAAGGTTCCAAAAGGTACTCACCACAATGATTTTTGAACCACATGGGATTCAGATTCATAGGTGGGCTGAGGTTCAGGATGTGCGGGTTCTTACTCTTTCTCAAGTGGGGAAGGCATGTTTTAGACCTGAAAGGTAGGTTTAGACAAATCAGTCACCTCTTTTTTTTACAAAACACCTATAATTACAGTAAAACCATACAAGTAGACCAGTATTTTCATGAAAATTCAGCACTACACTGAGACCCTAACTGCATCACTTATTTAACTGATATAAACAAACAAACAAAATCTGTCCTAGCTTACTTATCTCAGGCCTAGTACGGGACCACATTCTCCAAACAGCGCAGCAGCATCTACTAAAGCTCATTTTCCAGAAGCCACAATCTCCTTGTAATAGTTTTGATAGGGACAACAAAATACTGTGAGGCAACAAGTGAAATTAACAGAGCACCACTGAGTCATAAATATATTCTCTTCTGATCCCACACCTGTTTCTCCTTTAAAACCATGATAAATAAATAATATTTTATAGCAAAAGGCTATTACAAGTATTCCAAGCAAAACTGTAAACCTATTATCTGTTGACTGGACAAGTCACTATTTCATTCAAATCAGAACTTACACACTCACACACAGATGTGTAAATCATAACCACCATTTGGCTTCACTTGTAGCACTGAGGTAAATGTCTGCATTTCAGAAGGAGAACAGCAACACGTTAGTGACCTACTCTTTACACACTTCACCAAGACCCATGCATACTGTCAGCCACAGCAGGAATACCTTCAACTGCAAAATCATTACAGTAAATTATTTACCACCTGCTTAAACAGTTTTTCAACTCCCTTCAGTGTCAGTGAGAGGTTCACTAAGACACATCTCAATTTCCTAATGTACAGGAATACTCTGAAAATGGGACTTCCTCCCTACCTTATTCCACTCAAGACAAAAAATCCACACTTATTTTTTAGCTATTGTAACTTATTAAACATTATTTGAAAACAGATCTCTACAAATTACAGAGGTAACATACAAAGCAAGAGGAAGAAAAGCTTGAAGTCACAGAAAGGGCTGGGTTGGAAAGGACCTTAAGATCTATTTCCAATCCCCCTGCCATGGTCACGGATGCCTCACACTAAACCATGTCACCCAAGGCTCTGTGCAACCTGGCCTTGAATACTGCCAGGGATGGAACATTTGCCACTTCTTTGGGTACCCTGTTCCAGTGCCTCACCACCCTCCCAGTAAAGAACTTCTTCCATATGTCTAACCTAAACTTCCCCTGTTTAAGTTTCAACCCGTTACCCCTTGCCCTGTTGCTACACTCCCTAATGAAGAGTCCCCCTCCAGCATCCTTGCAAGCCCCTTCAGATACTGGAAGGCTGCTATGAGGTTTCCATGCAGTTTCTTTTCTTCAAGCTGAACAGCTCCAACTTTCTCAGCCTATCTTCATACAGGAGCTGCTCCAGTCCCCAGTTCATCCTCTTGGCCCTCCTCTGGACTTGTTCCAACAAATAGTTCACTAGGTCTTCCCAACTGACAATTTATTCACAAATAAAAGCAATGACAAAAGACCATTTTAACTTCCCTTGGGAGGTATTAATATTTCATATACTCTTCCATTCACAGCAACACAGTGATCCTTTTGATCTTTTTAAGGTACAGTAAGTTAGGTCCCTTCCAACCCAAACCATTCATTCTATGATTCTGTGAGAGTAGCAGCTAAAGAAAATATGACTTCAGGAACCCTGCATCAACTGTGAACTGCTAAATGTGCCACCAAGAAAGTGACTGTCACTGTTGGGCAGTGAGGGGGAGCCTGCCACTAGCAATACAGTGGAACCCATTCATAGCTTTAACAAGACATATCACAGAATGTTTTCTGGAATGCCAAGCTCCAAAACCAATTTTCCTTTCTGAGCACAGAACTGCTTTCACATACAGGCTTTCAAAAGTAGAAGTCACAGGGTGGAAGCAGGAAATACCACTCTCCAAGAACAGTCTTTCTTCCACGCTCCTTTTCTCTCCATGTTAACTATGTGCTATGTCTCTCTAATTAGGAAAGCTTCTATTTATGTGTGGTTTTACACTATTCTAATAGCAAATAGCTTCACTGATTCTTAGCAACAGAATATTAAGGAATATAATTGTATCTGACAACCAGATTCATCTGCACAAAGGGGAACAACATTCTTCTAGGTAAAACTCTGATACAAAAGCTTCTGATCACATCAAACAGCTAATTTAGAATTTAGAGATTCTGCATCATCCTAAGGGTCTGTGTTTGTTGTTATTAACACAACCCCATCAAAATCAATGTTTTCAGTTTAAAACAGAGCAATTTTGAATTACATCCCGCAAATCTAAAGATGATCGCACCTACTGAATCCATTTCAAAAAATGAGCAAAGTAAGTACCACAGGAACTGTGAAATCAAATCTTGGTGCATTAATTTAAATAGATAATAGAACTGGGAAGCTGAATGTAGGCAGGGAACACTTTAGATTGTTTAGTTACACCTTTAATGGTTCTCTTGTAACTATGGGAAGTTGTACCATGCCTGTAAAGATGAGAAAGCAAGCCAGCAAACAAGATGCTACACTTGACATACGCAATGAGTTAGTCATTTTGCTTGACTTGAAAGAGCAGACAGCATTTAGCAAAGCCAAGCTGCACCTCTGTTTGAAATAAATTGGTTTCTGCTTTCTACCCGCATGGAGGGGCTTGTGAATACTTAATAATTGCAATTTGCAATTAATTCCTGGAAATATTAATTTTAAATCAATTGGCCAGTAAACGAGCAATTTCTGCTGAGCACACAGAGAATACTTGCTCTCCAACTCTAGGGCAGCAAGACAGCTATACAGTTTCTTAGAGAAACTGAGGTATGTTTTGCTACAATTTGCTTCCTTCTCTCAGCACTTACGTAAGGTAGGTTCCTCGTACATTGACATCCATCATAAGATTGACCTTCTTCGTTTCTGTTTCCAAAGTGCCAGTCAAAGAGATGGCGCTTGCATTGTTCACCAAAATATCAATCCCTGGTTTTAAAAGAAGCCATTTCACATTAGCATTTAAAGACAAAAGCAGGCTGCTCTTTTCTCTTTTTGTTTGAGCTCTGCCTATGTCAACCCCACACTTTAGTGTACCTCCAAAAGTCTTCACAGCTTTCTCCACAGCATTAATAATCTGCTGTTCCTCCCTCACGTTAACGACGCATGGCAAAGCCTTTCCTCCAGCCGCTTCAACTGCACAATTAAAAAATTAAACATTTTAAAACTTGCTCTCGGAACAAATGGCATGAAACTATTGAAAATCTCATTCAGTGACATGCTTCAAGAAGGCACTGAAAATCGCACTCACAAATTGCCACCTTTTTACATATTGCATAAATAGTAGGGAAGCCAAACCCAAACCTTAACACCCAGAATGTGCATGGTTCACACATACATCTCAATTAACACAGCAATTTCACATCTATACATATACATCTTCATTACAGTAATATTTTGATAACTCCCAGCATTCCTGGAGGGCACAAGAGACACTAGGCTTATTCTATTAAAGGTGAATTAGAGCTAAGAGAGTCTATTCAGTTTTCCGCTCAGGTACAATAATCAAGCCAGGGCCAGCACCTGAAGCCCTCCTCATTTGTTACTTACTCTCTGCTGCAGCAGTGTAGATAGTCCCTGAAAGAGTCGGATGGGGCTCAGCTGTCTTGGCTGCTATCACAATGTTTGCACCATCCTTGGCAGCTTTCAAAGCAATGGCTTTGCCAATGCCCCGGCTTGCGCCTGTGATGAAGAGCGTGCATCCTGCTAGTTTCCTAAAGATGAAGGGGGAGAGCAAAGCAAAACTTGTAAATCATTGACTTTTAGCAAAAGTAATTAGCAGAGTCTTCAAACCAAATGCCTTCATCATTTTACTAAGAAAACAGCCTCTGAGTATAAAAGCAATGGCTACCACATATCAAAGTACAGTAGTATTGAAGGCAAAACCGCTCCCCAAATCTGCAAACACCATAAGGCAAGAAGGTCACACATGTCACTCAATTACACTTCTCACTGTTCACAACAGAGTTGCTACATTCTCCAACAACAGAAAACGAGTAAGCTGTAAAAATGAAATGCTCCTTTCTAATGAGACAGCACACCTCTGTAATTTACTAGTCACTGCCCTCTAAACACAAAAACTGCTGCCTCAATGTGGTATAAAGTTTAAGTCCAGAACCACAATGAGAATGCAGGGTGCCACACACAAGTGCTAAAAACCTCCATTTTCAGGAATGGCAATTATTTCTTTTAAAGGTTTAGCACTAAAATCAACAATTTCCTGGTAAGGAGGTGACAAAATGCCATGGGGGTGGACTACAAGAGGTTCAGAAGCTATCCAGAGGATCCTGATAGACTAGGTAAACAGAAGCCTTGCAAAATTCAACCAGAACAGATGTACAGTCCTGTACCTGAGAAAAAAAGTCCCTGCAAGGATACAAAATGGGACTGAATGGCTAAGGAGCCCTCTCCGGAAAAGGCCTTAGGCAACTGGCAGAGAACAATGTGGGCATGAGACAGCAGTGTGCTGGGCAACAGAGGCTGGCAGCATCCTGGGCTACAAGAACACCACAACCAGAAGGTGGAAGGAAGGGATTATGGCCCTCTGTTTGGCACTCATAAAACCACGTTTACACCCCATAATGAGCTTTGGGTCCCTCAACAGAAACTATATGCTGACAAACAGGAGCAGATTCTGCCAGTGTGAGACAGAGACGGCCGGAGGCTCAGCACTTGTGTGACATGCCTAGTTCAGCCTGGAAAGCAGCTCTGGGGGAAAGCAGCAGCAGCCCCCCAATACCTATGCAGCAACGGAGGAGATGGAACTGAGCAAACATACTGTGGTGCAGTGCAGAAGGATGAGAGACAACACGCCCTTTCAAACTGCAGAGGTTTGGACTGTCTTCCCCAGCATGAGAGTCAGGCAACAAAGCAGTAAAGAGCTGCTGCCAGCCTTGGAGGCTTCCAAGACCAAAACAGCCAGCCTTGAGGTGTCTGACTTCTCCCAACTGACCTGTTTTTCTTCAAGAGGCAGGGCGGGAGACCTCAAGGTCCCTTCCAACAGGATCTATCCAGTGATGCAATCTGAAAGAGTCCACCCAAAGATCCAATTCCTTTCCCCAAATTATTACCCTATTCAAAATGTCAAGGAACATACACTACTCATTCCAGTTACACTCTCTAGTTTTCCTCTCCAACCTTTCTTACACTATCTGTCTGGCTATCATCCTCAAATTTCCTTTTCTCTTGGGACAAACTGCATCTCCAGCCTACAGAAGCCTCTTTTTCCCCTAGGCTTACAATCAGCACTGACTACACACCCTCTTCTGGAGCTCCTTTCCTTCAATTCTAGCTCCACAATCTCCAATTCTGGCTTTACAGCACACAGAAACAGTGTTCACCAAAATAAGCAATGTCCTACTAACAGGAAAAATTAATTTTCATCCCTTCTGAAACACTGACCTGACTTGATACCCTCTCACACACCCCTTTTATACCTTTTTGTTTCAAAAAACAAACAACCCAAAACATTCTTTCTTCTTCCTTAATTTTACTTCTAATCCTGTCTCACTCCAAAAGTTTAATTTATCCTCTGCAAACTGGTGTGACAGCATCCTCCCAGACAGATGCACTAACCTCTTAAAAATACTTATTCAGTGTTCCCAAATGAACTGCCCAGAATTTGAAGCACTTTAATCTCCTGAGCAAGTTACGTTCACAAGACTTACTAGTCCAATACTTCACAAGTTTTAAACCTATGTTTGTCTAAAATTGCTTACACCCTGTACTGTGAAGGTTGCGCCATTATTGTTTCCACCGTAGCTTGTTAAATTCACCTCTGTGCCCTGCGGTCTCAGGGATCCTGGAAAACAAGAGAGGCAAGTTCTTGCCTCACCAAGCACGAGTGCTGATACAGAAACCTGCAGTTTACATCAGAGATGCTTTTTGCTGCTTGCTTACACATACATTAGGAATTTTATGAACAATCCTGTTTATAACATACAGGTGCAGGTGCAAGTAATACTATCTTACCTTCCTGGCTATTAGTAGTGCTGGCTCTGAAAAGCCAAAGGGCAGGAAATGCCTTTAAATTAAGCTCCTATATTGGAAGCAAATTTGATTGCCAGGTAAAAAGGCACGCGCTGGCTTTGAATGAGAAGAGAGAGAATAAAAGAGAGAGAGTTTAATACCTATAAAATCACAGTTACATTACTTAATTTGGATGCAAGTCCTCCTACAGCTATTCCCCCTGCAAACCGCTCCGCTCAAGGACACCACTAACGATCCTCACCAACACTTCCAGGCCCTCTGCGAGCCCCTACCTGCCCCCTGCCTCCTGGACCCGCTTCCAGCCTCCCCGCTGCGCGGAGGCCCCGACCCGCACCGTCGGCGTGCTCGCCCCCAGCGGGCCGCGGAACGGGGCCGGGGTCCGGCGGAACCCGCGGGGCGAGCGAAGGCCGCTCGCAGGCCCGAGGAAGAACAGCCCACAGCCGAAGCTCACCTCGTCCCCCGCCCTGAGAGGCTTCCGGTGTCGGGACAGAGGCGACTTACACCTCAGCCTCCCCCCAGCCCCCCCACGTCTGCCCGACGCCGCCTGAGGGGGAAGCGGCGGCTGGAGCCAAGGGGAAGGGGTGTCCCGAGGGGAAGGGAAGGGGCTGACGGGAGCGGCGGGCGCCTTACCCCGTATTGGGCAGCATGTCGGCGGAGAACGGCCCCTGGCCAGCCGAGGAGACCTCCCCCCTTCGCGCAGCCGCCCGAAGGGCAAGGGGCGGAGCGGTCGGGCAGAGGTTAAGGGCAGCGCCGGAGGCGGCAGTGCGTGCGTGCGGCGCAGGGAGGCAGGGCCTGCGGAAAGAGGCGCGGGCCGAGAGGTGTGTGCAGGCGGGCGGTGCCACCCGTGTGTGAGTGGGGCTGTCAGGACAGCCGGGGCGAGCTGGTCGGGACAGACCTGAGACCAGACAGAGGCGTCCATCGGGTGATACAAATGGTGCTGGGAGTCTCCCAGCACCCTTTAGTTCTGTGCTGAGTGTATGAAGTTTTGCGTTGATCCGAACCCTGCTCGGGAGCTTTGAACAGGAACAAGTAATAGCACTGCTCCATCTCACTCTGCCTCCCCAGTTGATCTGAGCGCCTATGCCAGGGTCGTCCTGTCTTCTGCTGGCCCAACCGTGGCCATCCCCTCCCTCATCTCCTTTCCTGGCCCCTCTCTCTTACCCTCACAGTAACTGCGGGGTCAGCCCTCGCTTACACGTCCTAAGCACTGCTCCGACCCCTCGTTTATCAGCCCTGTTTTCAGTACAAATCGAACCGACAGCTCCATACTAGCTACTACGAAGAAAATGAGCCCTATCCCGGCCAAAACCAGCACTACCGCTGCTGCCCCGCCACTGTGGACCGCTGTCCCTGCAGGACCCTGCTGGGTTCCTCGCTCCCCAGCCTTCCCCCATGGTTGACCTGGCTCTATCCGAGGAAGGTGATGAGGAACACGCAGCCTTTAAGGAGAAGTCTGCAGGAACGGTCCCGGTGAGCAACACCAGCTGGGGCCTGGGTGTCCTCCACACAGACAGATCTTTCAGGCCAGCGACAGGCTCTGACAATCCTCCAGCTGACAATCCCAACGAACTTGCTGCTGGCCCTCCAGCCGCCTGTGTATTTCACATCACAGAACAGTCAGGGTTGGAAGGGACCTTAAAGCTCATCCAGTTCCAACCCCCTGCTATGGGCAGGTACACCTTCCACTAGACCAGGTTGCTCACAGCCCCTCCAACCTGGCCTTGAACACTGCCAGGGATGGGGCAGTCACAGCTTCTCTGGGTAACCTGTGCAGCGTCTCACCGCCCTCATATTGAAGAATTTCTTCTTAATGTCTAATCTAAATCTTCCCTCTGTCAGTCTAAAACCGTTCCCGCTTTTAAAATGAGTTTATAAGTGTGATTTCTACATTTGTCCCTGTTCAAAACAGTTCTGAACAACAAAATCTCAAAATGGAGTCAGAGGAGATTAATCAAAAAAAGAAGTAATACATTAAATAAGTTAATCACTGTAATCAAGTCCTAAAAAAATACCTTTAAAAAAGGACTGGAAAAGCAAATTCTATTTTAATTAATCATTAAAGTGCTTCAGTATTATGATATATACATATACACACACAGATATATGGAAATATTTTGTTAGACTGAGGTGTTCGAAGGATATGAAATTTAATCGCAGAGTCCGATTTAGCATTTTTGCTACGTGGATAAAAATACGAACTATATACTTATGCATGAACAAAGAGGTATTTCTAAAGAATTCAGAGATCTTACTGTAGTGGTATTACTGTTTCCTGTGCACAGCCTGTAACCAGTTTCTTTTCATTTTCTGATGATTCTGTTCCTTTTTTTTTTTTGATAAGCTAAAGCAAATCATAACTTTCATGTCAGGAAAATTAAATGTTAAAGGTGACATGGTACTAGAAATGAGTCTGGAGAAGACGCTGCCACAGTTCATTTTTGAACACTAGCAGAACAGTGGCCTTTCATATATAACTACAGTGCTGCTTTAAAATACCAGTCCTCATTTTTCTTTGATGCAGTTTAATAATCAATAAAATTTGGAATTGCTAGGTAAGACACAATCAGTCTGATTGTAATGCCCAACAAAGAACATGTTTTTCTTAATAACTTGCTATAATGATTAGAAGGAAAACATGTCCCAAAATTCTGATGTTTTGAGGATATTTTTTAAAATTTCCACTTCTGATTGCAAACCATCCTCTGTTATTGTGAGAGATATATTTATTATAATGTTATCTTGCCTTTGAATTACCTGATGTCTAATGAGATGTGAGTTTGGATCCCACTATTAGGGGATGTACAACATGTTTCCAGTGTGTTGTAAGAGCTGAACTCAGCACTAACTTTTCCTCTGACTGGGAGACAAACAGCATTTTTCTCTCCTGTACTGGTTTCAAAACTTGTAGGAATTGACCATCTCTATCAGATGTTACTAGAAAAGGCTGATGATCTCAAGCTACTGGAAAACTCAGTGTATATGCTTGTGTACAAAATATGGTCACATAAAGTTTGTTTCTTTAGGGACCCATCTTAAAATACTTAAAATACATATTTTGAAATGTACAGATACTACGTAATATCTTTCAAGTTAACATACATGTTCCAATATCTTTTCAAGACTGTCCTGTAATGGGTATTGGAACAAGGTTGTTTAATTTTATACCTATAGCATCATTAACCTATGTCTTTGCAGTTTTCCCTTCTGTGCAACTTCTCTGCCAAAGCATTTTGAGTTTTCTTCGGGATTGTGTGGGTGAAGGAAAAAGGCATGCAGCATCCAATTCAACATCAACTATGTCTTGGCACCCAAAGGCTGAATGTGCTTATTTGCTTCCCATTCTGTGTCTACAGTTAATGCTGTGTGTTTCTTGTGTAGTCATTAATACTGCTCTTGCACAAAATGGTTGTTCTGAGTGTCGTTTGGTGGTGGACTATAATGCCTGTGTAATCACAGAGAAGGGTGTCACCTTTAGAAGAAAAGTGCTTTTGTTGGAGAATGATCCAGCACAGCACAACCTGTCTCCATCTGGCCACAGTGTTTCTTCTCTCTAATACATCGGTAGTGTTGTTTTGCACAAGGGAATGCCAAGAACTCACAGTGCTGCTCTGGGGAGACTGATTGCTGCTGGTGGCTGGATCAGGGCTGTGCCTGACTGCTGATGGCATTGTATGAATAACTGCTGGTGCCAGGGAGAGAAGGGCAGGAACTGCCACATCCGACACTTTGATTGGTATAAGCGGTTATGGATTCACACCCAACAGGACAAGCAACTTAGGACAAGAGGAAACAGCCTCAAGCTGCTCCAGGGGAGGTTTAGATGATTGGAAAAATTTCTTCACAGAGAGCATGATCAGGCATTGGAACAGGCTTCCCTGGAAGCATTCAAAAACTGTGTAAATGAGGCCCTTAGTGATACGGTTAATAAGTGGTGGACTTGACAGTCCTGGGGTAACGGTTGTAATTGAGGATACTAAAGATCTTTTCCAGCCTAGCTGATGCTATGATTAGCAAGAAAAGGAAAGCCAGAAAACTTGGACCTCTGTTTTTCAGTTAAATGTATTTACACTGTCTACAGGATGAGTGTGCATCCTGTAGGCAGCATCATGAGCATGTGGATAGGTATCCCACTGCCCTTCCCTCAGACTCCTCAGGATAAGTGGGCTGGTGGCTGGGCCATGGGATGAGTGCTGTGGGACCTGGCGATGCTGAGTATTAGGGATATTTGATCCTTACATTACAAATGTTCCTATTATGCTATTCCTGGAGTTCCTGCTGTGAACAGACCTGGCTGAAAAAACTGCTAGTCTGCTATGTGCTGCTAGGACAAGGCCTACAATGGGTGCTGTAATGGAGGAATTACTGCAGGTTTTTATGCATTCCGGAGGATTTTTGCATGAGGGCAGGAATGTGTGGCTTTTTAATCTATTGCTCAGTGTGCTGCTGTTGAGGCCCATAAAAATGAAGTGAACAAACAGTGACTATTTTGCTACTCTGAGTAACTGCAGAGAATGCCACGGGTTCTTTGGGTGACAGCTCCAAGTGATACATGAAGAAACCAGCTCTAAGACCTATGCAGAACACAGACATCCTCCGCACGCTGCTGGTGGTAATGAGCAGGACTGACGGCTCACTGCGCTGCGAAGGAAGTGCGAGCTCATGTAGCCCATGTGCCCAAGGGCTCTATTTCGGTGTCTTGTCTCCCACTTCTTGAGCGCAGCTCCAGCTGCCCCCTGTTGCTAAGGTGCGGGCGGGCTGGGTCCGGCCCCGCAGCCAGTGCCAGCAGAGGGAGCAGTCGCCAGACGCACCGGATCGCTTTGTGTCCCGTCCCTCCATCACCCCTGGTGCGCGAGTGAAGGGTACTCGGTGACGAAGCACCGGGACTTGCACGTATTTGTCCCATCCAAATAGGCAGTGAAAGCGTAATGCTTTGTTGCCCGGGAGAGACTTGGTTTTAAGGAACATTACCATGAGTCCTTAAAGCTTTGGCAAAAATTAAACTCACTGAATCTCGGTCTTCATAATGGAGTGTTGCTTAATCTTAGTTCTGGGTAGCTTTCTTCCCTAGAATAAGGCATTGCTTTATATAGCAAAGTTAAACAAGAACTTCCTAAACATAACTAACTCAAGCAGTAATACATACATTCAGTATTTTTTACTAGGGTGTAGCTCTTCTTCTGTGTCTCTGCTTTCCACCATTCCCACTGGGGGCTGATGCTGGAGGAAGAAGAAGAAAGGACCTTGTCTATGGGGACAATATCAACACTCCTTTTGAGACAGGTTTACCTGCAAAGTGTTCTCAGTGGGGTCCACACGTCAACTTGAAGTTATCGTAGGGGGAAAAGAACAGAAAGAGAAGGAAGGGGGAAGCTGCCCAGTGGCCAGCCAAGAAGCTGGGGCCCATAGAAGAATGTCCTTTTCAGTGTCAGCAAACCATGAGGATGAGGAAGATGACCATGACTGTTCTTGCCAGGTTTTTTTCTCTATTAACTCTGTGCTGGGCATTAGCACCCAGTTAAACACCCTCTTATCCCTGGATGCTGTCAGTGCTGACAGAATCCTATCTAGTCGGTTGCAGGTGGAGCATGCCAATCACTCAGTTTGTGTGTGTTTATGGCTGGTAATCGTTGTGGGGTATTTACATGGCTATTATCTGCTTTTC